ACCACCGTCTTGGTCACCCCTCTCTGCTTCGTCTCAGTGGCATGGCCTCCCGTTTCCTTGTTTCTGGTCTTCCCCGGTCCCTCCCTCCCCTTCCTCAGGGGCCTGGCCCTACCTGTTTCCCATGTGTCGAGGGGCGGCAGCGCGCTGCCCCTCACTCCTCCCAGTTCCCTCCGACAGAGGCCCCGCTGCAGACGCTTCACATGGACGTGTGGGGCCCAGCCCGCGTCCGTGGACAGGGTCATGAGCGCTACTTCCTGTTGGTGGTTGACGACTACTCGCGTTACACCGCAGTCTTCCCCTTGCGCAGCAAGGGTGACGTTACTGAGGTGTTGATCGACTGGATCCGCGCAGCTCGTCTCCAGCTCAGGCAGAGCTTCGGCTCGGACTTTCCTGTTCTGCGTCTGCACTCTGACAGAGGCGGAGAGTTCTCCTCTGGCCTTCTGCGAGCCTACTGTCGTGCACGAGGCATCCGCGAGACCTTCACGCTTCCGGACTCTCCGCAGCAAAATGGGATTGCTGAGCGCCGCATTGGCATGGTCATGGACGTCGCTCGTACGTCCATGATGCATGCGGCTGCCCCCCATTTTCTGTGGCCGTTTGCGTTGAGGTACGCGGCGCATCAGATCAACCTCCACCCCAGGGTCTCCAGGCCGGAGACCTCCCCAGCTTTGCTGTGGACGGGGAAGGTTGGCGATGCGTCGTCGTTCCGTGTCTGGGGATCTCGGGCGTTTGTCCGCGACTTGTCTGCGGACAAGCTGTCCCCTCATGCTGCTCTTTGCGTCTTCTTGGGGTTCCCCCCTGACGTGCCCGGGTGGCAGTTCTACCACCCCACCTCGCGCCGTGTTCTGTCCTCTCAGGACGTCACGTTTGACGAGTCGGTCCCCTTCTACCGCCTCTTCCCCTACCGCACTCCGTCCCTCCCCCCGCCACCGCTCTTCCTTGCACCAGGTCCCCCCCCGGTAGACCCCCTCCCCCCTCAGGGTCCTGCCCCTTCAGGTGTGTCCCAGGTAGACACAGTCGAGCCTGTCGAGGTTACTGGTGACTCTGGTGCTGCTGAGGGTGCTGAGCCTGGGGGTGCTGAGCGTGTGGGTGCTACTCCTGGGGGTGCTTAGCCTGGGGGTGCTGAGTCTGGGGGTGCTGAGCCTGGGGGTACTGAGCCTCGGGGTGTTGAGCCTGGGGGTGCTGAGCCTGGAGGTGCTGTGCCTGAGGGTGCTAAGCGTGGGGGTGCTGTGTGTGAGGGTGCTGAGCCTGGGGGTGCTGCGTCTGGTGGTGCTGGGCCTGGAGGTTCTCCAGGTGCTTCGTCTTGGCGGGAGCCACTCTCTCCACAGGAGCTGCGCTAGTGGTTTGCCCGGCGCTGGAGCCGTGCTACTGGAGCTGGAAGTTCTTCGGCTACTGAGGGTGCTGCTGTCGCGGGTCCCGGAGGTGCTCGTACTGGGAGTACTGGAGCTACTGGGCCTGCGGGTTCGAATGGAGGTGGTGCTGCTGAGGGTGTTCGCGCTGAGACTACTGCTGGCGGTCCTGCTGGGGGTGCTACTGGTGCTGCTGGAGGTCCTGGAGCTGCTGGAGCTGCTGCGGGTACTGGAGCTGGAGGTATTGCTAGAGCTGGTGCTCCTGCTTGGGGCACTGGTGCGGTCCCTGGTGTGTCTGGAGTCGCCGCGCGGCCTCGACCGTACTTCTTTCCGCTCCTTCAGCAGGTTCTTGGTCTTCCGCCTTCTACTGGTCCTCCTCCTCCTCCCTTAGAGCGTCCACAGCCTGTCCCGTCGCAGTTACAGTTACAGCCTGCTTCCCCACTGCCTCCTCCTTCTCCCTACAGTAGTCCTACTGGAGGTCTTGCTGAGCGTCGTGAGCCCGCGTCTCGCCCTGCGACGCCTGTTCGTGCTGCTCGCACTAGTGGTCGTGGTTCGCGTCAACGTCCTCCTCCGTCCACTGCTCCTCTGCGTGCCCCTCTGCCTTCTCCTCCTAAGTCCTCTCTTCCTGCTCTTGCCGACCCGGAGTTGGACTCTCTTTGTGCTGCTAGTCTTACTGTCACACGTCTCCTTGCTACTGTCGTCATTGACCCTTCTTTTGAGTCCACTGCTGCGTCTGCCCTAGTTGCTGAGCTCGTCGAATTCGCTGCTCGCTGTCGCCTAGACTACGCTGCTAGCCTTGTCGCTGAGTCTGAGTCTGTCTGTCCTCCGTCCGTCGGGGGTGAGTGTGCCCTTGGCACGGACGTCCTTGAGGACATGCAGGAGGAGTTCCAGTGTCTGGCTGCTGCTTCACCTCATCTCGTCTCCGTACTGCTTACCCCTGAGGGAGACCCGGATGCACTTGACATCCCGACTCCGCGCTCTTACGCTGAGGCGATAGAGGGTCCCTACTCTTCTCAATTACAGGCAGCTATGGACACAGAGATGGCTTCCTGGACGTCCACAAGCACCTACGTTGACGAGGTTCCCCCGCCTGGGGCGAACATCGTCAGTGGCATGTGGATCTTCAGGGTGAAGCGGCCGCTGGGTTATCCGCCTGTCTTCAAGGCACGGTACGTGGCTCATGGCTTCAGTCAGCGGCAGGGAGTTGACTACTTTCAGACCTTCTCTCCCACCCCGAAGATGACCACTCTTCGGGTACTGCTGCACGTTGCTGCTCACCGTGACTACAAGCTGCACTCTCTTGACTTCAGCACAGCTTTCTTGCAGGGCAGCCTGCACGAGGAGATTTGGCTGCGCCGCCCACCTGGCTTAACTGGGTCTTTTCCTCCTGGTACCCAGTGGAGTCTCCAGCGTCCAGTCTACGGTCTCCGCCATGCGCCCCGTGAGTGGCACGACACACTGAGGACTACACTTGCAGCTCTTGGGTTTGCTCCTTCTACAGCCGACCCGTCGCTGTTTCTGCGCATCGACACCTCTCTGCCGCCGTTCTATATCCTCGTGTACGTCGACGACTTGGTCTTTGCCACAGCTGACACTGCTGGACTCGCCTATGTGAAGTCCGAGCTGCAGAAGAGACACACGTGCACAGACCTGGGTGAACTGCGCAACTACCTTGGCTTGCAGATCACCCGGGACAGAGCACGCCGCACCATTACCGTGACTCAGTCACACATGGTGCAGCAGGTCCTTCAGGGCTTCGGCTTCACGTAATCCTCGCCTCATGCCACTCCTCTGCCTACTCGCCACTCGCTCTCAGCTCTGCCTTCGGATGAGTCCGTAGAGTCGAGTGGCCCGTATCCAGAGCTTGTTGGCTGCCTCATGTACCCGATGACCTGCACACGACCTGACCTTACATACCCTCTTAGCATTCTCGCACGCTATGTTGCTCCTGGGAGACACCGACCAGAGCACATGGCTGCAGCGAAGAGGGTGTTGCGCTACTTGTGCAGTACGTCGGGCATGGGGCTAGTGCTTGGAGGGCGGAGTCCAGTGGTCCTCACTGGGCACGCAGACGCTTCTTGGGCTGACGACCAGGCTACGCAGCGGTCGTCACTGGGTTACACCTTCAGCCTTGGTTCCGGCTCTGTCTCGTGGCGGGCTACTCGCTCGTCTTCTGTTCTCGGCTCCAGTTGTGAGGCTGAGATCTACGCTGGGGTCATGGCTGCACAGGAGCTTCGCTGGCTCACCTACCTGCTGACTGACCTTGGAGAGCCGCCTCGTTCTCCTCCAGTTCTATACGTAGACAACAAGGCCATGCTGGTCTTGTGTCCAGAGCAGCGTCTGGAGCACAGAACAAAGCACATTGCTCTCCGCTAATTTCTTGCTCGTGAGCTACAGCAGCGTGGACAGTTGCGGCTTGCGTACGTGGCCTCTGAGGCCAACACTGCTGATGTCTTCACTAAGGCACTTCCGCCTTGTGATCATCAGCGCTTCTGCACTCAGCTGGGTCTTGTCCCTGTCTTGCCTCACTTGCTCACCTCTTGACCTTACTTGTACTGTTACATATATATACCTGCTCTTGCTTATCTAGTCTTATATATATATGTACTCCTGCATGTGAACTGGCCTTGTGGCCTTGAACTTGTGCTCAGAATGTGTGGTGACTTTGTGATCCACCCTGAGCTTACTTTGCTTTGCTTTGCTTGACTGGTCTTGTGACCCTTTGTTCTCCCCCACTTTGCCTATGGGGGTGTGTCAGAACATTTTAGCTTATGCTTTTGTGTAGGCTGTAGTGGGGTATCCCATAGGGGGTACAACCCAATTAGGGTTAGTACTTGTACCCACTTCTTTCATAGTTCATTCATTCCTCGTTTCAGTTTTCTCATACAGTAGCTGTTTTTTTCAACCCTTATATTGCTGACTTCCCCGACATGCTAGGCGGGGGAAGCGCTAGTATAAATTTAAAACTTAAAATATTCATCAATTCGTTTGATGAATATGAGAAATGCAATTATCGTTTGGTCGGTCATTGCAATTCTCCTCAGATTCTCACATTTCTAAATCATGCGCGTTACAAAAGAACCATGTAGAGTAGCAATGACCAGCAATTGACCAGAAAGCTGTAAACAAGTACGGTATGATCGTTATGAAAAGATTGTCAAATTTATTATGGTAGTACCCTAAACAAACTTTTTCGAGTTATTTTACATTTTTTTTTGCAGATGAAAAATTTCCCTAAACAATTTTCGTGATTTTTTTTTTTTGCTTTAGGTCGATTGCAATAGGTTGCTTAGCAACCCAAAAACATCAGAGTATGCCCCCTCGGATAGTAAGGTACAACAAAAGAATGAAATGCAATAACTTACCCTGTCATTGTATTTTCTCACAAATATAGGTAAGCAGTGTGACAAGTTTTTGTTACGGTAGTTTGGTTTGATTTTTCAAGAATAATTAATTCTTGAAAAAAAAAAACCAGCTCCGATCGATTGCAATAGGTTGCTCCGCAACCCCAAAAAAAAAACCTAAATAGAAGAATAAGTTATTCTTTGTGTACAAGAATAGCTTCTATGCCTATGGCCTCAATAAAGGAAGGATAGCGCAGTGCCGCTACTGCAAGCACAGATTTGCCACCAACCAAATTCGCTGCACGGCTCATCTTGCAAATTGGGAGAAAACAACACCGTCGGCCAATCTTGATTGATATGTGCTAAAGCCCCCAAGGATGTAAAAAATGGCTTTGGCAACATGGAGGAAAACAATGTTCAGTGCGAGCAGAAAGAAAAAGCAGATGACGCAGTCGTGCAGCGAGCGGTGCAGTAAGCGGTGCAGAGAGTGACTCGATTGGGAAGAAGAGGGATCGCATGTTGAAAGAGAACGGAGGGAGTGATGCGAAGAGCGCGACGGACGAGGCTGTATGCCTCTACCGTGCGGTGTGAAAGAGTGGGAGCTCGAGGAGAGGCTTACCGGGTGTGGGAAAAGAAGAGGGAAAGAGAGGCTTACCGGGTGTGGGAAAAGAAGAAGGGAAGAGAGGCTTACCGGGTGTGGGAAAAGAAGAAGGGAAGAGAGGCTTACCGAATGTGGGAAAAGAAGAGGGGAAGAGAGGCATACCGGGTGTGGGAAAAGAAGAGGGGAAGAGAGGCTTACCGGTTATGGGAAACGAAGAGGGGAAGAGAGGCTTACCGGGTGTGGGAAAAGAAGAGGGGAAGAGAGGCTTACCGGGTGTGGGAAGCGATCCAGTAGTCGAAGAATCGCAGCACACGGTCGTTACTCCGAGCCATGTAGAACCCCTTATTAGCTGCCGCTAGTATTGAGTCAGCTTAAAGATCAGCTTACCGGGTGTGTGAATTGATCCAGTAGTCAAAGAACTGAAGCACTCGGTCGTTGCTGCGAGCCATGTAGAACCCCGTATTGGCTGCTGCTGGTGTTGAGTCAACTCAAAGATCAGCTTACCGGGTGTGTGAATTGATCCAGTAGTCGAAGAATTGCAACACTCGGTCGTTGCTGCGAGCCATGTAGAACCCCGTATTGGCTGCCGCCTCCTTGACGTCTGCCGACCAATGATCACACGCTGTCACAAAGTCGGATGAGATCGGGAGCAGGTAGGGAAGGGGGTTCTGGTGAAGGGGAGGAAAGGAAAGAAGGGAGATGATTAGGTTGGGTTAGAGGACACCTTTGAGAATTCTCAAAAGTCGCTGCAGGACACCTCTGCTTCCGCCTTGACGTCCGCCGACCAGTGATCGCATCACAGGCTGTCGCGATGTCGGATGATATGGGGAGTAGGTGGGGAAGGGGGCTCTTGTATAGAGGAAAAGAAGGTGAGGGGGGAGGGGAGGGGGGGGTGTGGGGGGGAGAGAATGAAGGAGGGAAAAGAAGAGGGATCTGTGAAGAGAGCCAGCGGATGAAGTGGTTGGAGACAGCAAAATAAGAAGGTTGTTACAACAACTTGTGTACAGTTGTTTTTCCCCGTTTTCTTCAAGAGAATGATTCCGAAAGGTGTCTCAAAACGAGTCACATTGCACATAGCACAATGGCGTTGTTGGATGACTTTTGAGGCGTCTCAAAAGTCGTCACTTAGCAACATGGCGTTGCTGCATGCCTGAATGCAACCACATGACGTCACTGCCACACACCTGCAGCCACAAGACGTCACTGCCACACACCTGTAGCCACATGACGTCATTGTCTGTGAAGATCACATCAAATCCTAAAGATATGATTCCCCTGACGATATGCAGCCGCCTCCAGACCTGAGCAGAGAGGAGAGGACCAAAGCAAATACGAGAAATGAGGCGACATAGAGGAGAGATAAGGAAAGATGAGGAGAGATGAGGAGAGATGAGGAGAGATGAGGAGAGATGAGGAGAGATGAGGAGAGATGAGGAGAGATGAGGAGATGGGGAGAGATGAGGAGATGGGGAGAGATGAGGAGAGATGAGGAGAGATGTGGAGAGATGAGGAGAGATGAGGAGATGATGAGGAGATGAGGAGAGGTGAGGAGAGATGAGGAGAGATGAGGAGATGAGGAGAGGTGAGGAGAGATGAGGAGAGATGAGGAGATGGGGAGAGGTGAGAGGAGATAAGGAAGGATGAAGATAGAATCTAGAGCAACAGCGGGGGAGTGGATAGAGATGATGGAATAACCCACAAGGACAAAAAGGGAAAAACAAGCAGGGACGAAAAGGGGAAAAGTAGCAGGGACAAAAAGGGGAAGAACAGCATCGACGAAAAGGGAAAAAACAGCATCGACATCCATTCGGATCTCTTAGCATACGGCCCACCCAGAAAGGCAAAAATACCAGGGGCAAAAATACCAGGTGCACGAAGGCCGGAGTCATGAACTTCTTCTGGTCGCCACTGAAGTCGTCCCTCTCGCCCTCTGGTGCATCCTCCTGCCCGCAAAAAAAAAGACGGAAAGGGCCGAGGAGTTTTTTTAACCAGGTGCAAATAGGAGGGGGATGTAGGTTGTGTGTGTGGGGGGGGGGGGGGGGGGGGGGGGGGGGGGGGGGGGGGGGGGGGGGGGGGAGGGTGGGGAAGGGGGATTGGAATCAAGAACATTCCTCGAACAGACAGCTTATGATGTGAGAGTGACGTTGGTTCCCTAATATACATACAGTGCCCCCTCCCTTTTGAGAATTCCCCAAAATGGCACACATGCTCCGTCCCTTCACATGCCCTGCACCCTTGATGCCTGCGCTGCTGCCAGTCCAATTGGTCTCTTGCCCATCCATAAACGTGTTATTTTGAGACGCCTCAAAATAACACTTCTACCCGTTGATGCCTACGGTGCTGCTTCCAGTCCAACTGGTCTCTAGCCCAGCAGTTGCACCTGTCTCCCAAGGAAGCAGTGCGGGCAAGTTTTGAGACATCTCAAAGGTCATGCTATCCACCCATGATGCCTACGGTGCTGCTGCCAGTCTAACTGGTCTCTAGCCCAGCAGCCGCACCTGTCTGCCAACCAAGGAAGCAGTGCGGGCGGGCGCACCTGTGTGTGAATTCATCAGTGCGGACAGGCACACCTGTGAGTCAAGGAAGCAGTGCAGGCGGAGCGAGCACCAGAACTCGAGGCTGTGGCGGTAGCAGACCACGAGCAGGCGAGACACCAGCGTGCGTGGGGTCTTTTGAGACACCAGCGTGCGTGGGGTCTTTTGAAAGTCCCACGGATCTGTGCTCATGAAGAAGGGCAGCAGTAGGCAAGGTCGCCTTTAGCACAGATCCGGGGATCTTTTGAGACACCAGCGTGCGTGGGGTCTTTTGAGACACCAGCGTGCGTGGGGTCTTTTGAGACGTCTCAAGAGACACCAGCGTGCCTGATGCCCTCGTGCGTCGCATCAGAGGCATGGGCCCCAAGCTCGGAATATTAGCATCTGCCTGTGTGGACTCAACAGCTGCACCTCCCAAGTATCCCTCCTGCTGTGCCTGCTGCTCCTGTGCCTGCTGCTCCTGTGCCTGCTGCTCCTGTGCCTGCTGCTCCTGTGCCTGCTGCTCCTGTGCCTGCTGCTCCTGTGCCTGCTGCTCCTGTGCCTGCTGCTCCTGTGCCTGCTGCTCCTGTGCCTGCTGCTCCTGTGCCTGCTGCTGCTGTGCCTGCTGCTGCTGTGCCTGCTGCTCCTGTGCCTGCTGCTCCTGTGCCTGCTGCTCCTGTGCCTGCTGCTCCTGTGCCTGCTGCTCCTGTGCCTGCTGCTCCTGTGCCTGCTGCTCCTGTGCCTGCTGCTCCTGTGCCTGCTGCTCCTGTGCCTGCTGCTCCTGTGCCTGCTGCTCCTGTGCCTGCTGCTGCTGTGCCTGCTGCTCCTGTGCCTGCTGCTCCTGTGCCTGCTGCTCCTGTGCCTGCTGCTCCTGTGCCTGCTGCTCCTGTGCCTGCTGCTCCTGTGCCTGCTGCTCCTGTGCCTGCTGCTCCTGTGCCTGCTGCTCCTGTGCCTGCTGCTCCTGTGCCTGCTGCTGCTGTGCCTGCTGCTCCTGTGCCTGCTGCTCCTGTGCCTGCTGCTCCTGTGCCTGCTGCTCCTGTGCCTGCTGCTCCTGTGCCTGCTGCTCCTGTGCCTGCTGCTCCTGTGCCTGCTGCTCCTGTGCCTGCTGCTCCTGTGCCTGCTGCTCCTGTGCCTGCTGCTGCCTGTGCCTGCTGCTCCTGTGCCTGCTGCTCCTGTGCCTGCTGCTCCTGTGCCTGCTGCTCCTGTGCCTGCTGCTCCTGTGCCTGCTGCTGCTGTGCCTGCTGCTCCTGTGCCTGCTGCTCCTGTGCCTGCTGCTCCTGTGCCTGCTGCTCCTGTGCCTGCTGCTCCTGTGCCTGCTGCTCCTGTGCCTGCTGCTCCTGTGCCTGCTGCTCCTGTGCCTGCTGCTCCTGTGCCTGCTGCTCCTGTGCCTGCTGCTCCTGTGCCTGCTGCTCCTGTGCCTGCTGCTCCTGTGCCTGCTGCTCCTGTGCCTGCTGCTCCTGTGCCTTCTGCTCCTGTGCCTGCTGCTCCTGTGCCTGCTGCTCCTGTGCCTGCTGCTCCTGTGCCTGCTGCTCCTGTGCCTGCTGCTCCTGTGCCTGCTGCTCCTGTGCCTGCTGCTCCTGTGCCTGCTGCTCCTGTGCCTGCTGCTCTGTGCCTGCTGCTCCTGTGCCTGCTGCTCCTGTGCCTGCTGCTCCTGTGCCTGCTGCTCCTGTGCCTGCTGCTCCTGTGCCTGCTGCTCCTGTGCCTGCTGCTCCTGTGCCTGCTGCTCCTGTGCCTGCTGCTCCTGTGCCTGCTGCTCCTGTGCCTGCTGCTCCTGTGCCTGCTGCTCCTGTGCCTGCTGCTCCTGTGCCTGCTGCTCCTGTGCCTGCTGCTCCTGTGCCTGCTGCTCCTGTGCCTGCTGCTCCTGTGCCTGCTGCTCCTGTGCTGCTGCTCCTGTGCCTGCTGCTCCTGTGCCTGCTGCTCCTGTGCCTGCTGCTCCTGTGCCTGCTGCTCCTGTGCCTGCTGCTCCTGTGCCTGCTGCTCCTGTGCCTGCTGCTCCTGTGCCTGCTGCTCCTGTGCCTGCTGCTCCTGTGCCTGCTGCTCCTGTGCCTGCTGCTCCTGTGCCTGCTGCTCCTGTGCTGCTGCTCCTGTGCCTGCTGCTCCTGTGCCTGCTGCTCCTGTGCCTGCTGCTCCTGTGCCTTCTGCTCCTGTGCCTGCTGCTCCTGTGCCTGCTGCTCCTGTGCCTGCTGCTCCTGTGCCTGCTGCTCCTGTGCCTGCTGCTCCTGTGCCTGCTGCTCCTGTGACTGCTGCTCCTGTGCCTGCTGCTCCTGTGCCTGCTGCTGCTGTGCCTGCTGCTCCTGTGCCTGCTGCTCCTGTGCCTGCTGCTCCTGTGCCTGCTGCTCCTGTGCCTGCTGCTCCTGTGCCTGCTGCTCCTGTGCCTGCTGCTCCTGTGCCTGCTGCTCCTGTGCCTGCTGCTCCTGTGCCTGCTGCTCCTGTGCCTGCTGCTCCTGTGCCTGCTGCTCCTGTGCCTTCTGCTCCTGTGCCTGCTGCTCCTGTGCCTGCTGCTCCTGTGCCTGCTGCTCCTGTGCCTGCTGCTCCTGTGCCTGCTGCTCCTGTGCCTGCTGCTCCTGTGCCTGCTGCTCCTGTGCCTGCTGCTCCTGTGCGTGCTGCTCCTGTGCCTGCTGCTCCTGTGCCTACTGCTGCTGTGCCTGCTGCTCCTGTGCCTGCTGCTCCTGTGCCTGCTGCTCCTGTGCCTGCTGCTCCTGTGCCTGCTGCTCCTGTGCCTGCTGCTCCTGTGCCTGCTTCTCCTGTGCCTGCTGCTCCTGTGCCTGCTGCTCCTGTGCCTGCTGCTCCTGTGCCTGCTGCTCCTGTGCCTGCTGCTCCTGTGCCTTCTGCTCCTGTGCCTGCTGCTCCTGTGCCTGCTGCTCCTGTGCCTGCTGCTCCTGTGCCTGCTGCTCCTGTGCCTGCTGCTCCTGTGCCTGCTGCTCCTGTGCCTGCTGCTCCTGTGCATGCTGCTCCTGTGCCTGCTGCTCCTGTGCCTGCTGCTCCTGTGCTTGCTGCTCCTGTGCCTGCTGCTCCTGTGCCTGCTGCTCCTGTGAATGCTGCTCCTGTGCCTGCTGCTCCTGTGCCTGCTGCTCCTGTGCCTGCTGCTCCTGTGCCTGCTGCTCCTGTGCCTGCTGCTCCTGTGCCTGCTGCTGCTGTGCCTGCTGCTCCTGTGCCTGCTGCTCCTGTGCCTGCTGCTCCTGTGCCTGCTGCTCCTGTGCCTGCTGCTCCTGTGCCTGCTGCTCCTGTGCCTGCTGCTCCTGTGCCTGCTGCTCCTGTGCCTGCTGCTCCTGTGCCTGCTGCTCCTGTGCCTTCTGCTCCTGTGCCTGCTGCTCCTGTGCCTGCTGCTCCTGTGCCTGCTGCTCCTGTGCCTGCTGCTCCTGTGCCTGCTGCTCCTGTGCCTGCTGCTCCTGTGCCTGCTGCTCCTGTGCCTGCTGCTCCTGTGCCTGCTGCTCCTGTGCCTGCTGCTCCTGTGCCTGCTGCTCCTGTGCGTGCTGCTCCTGTGCCTGCTGCTCCTGTGCCTACTGCTGCTGTGCCTGCTGCTCCTGTGCCTGCTGCTCCTGTGCCTGCTGCTCCTGTGCCTGCTGCTCCTGTGCCTGCTGCTCCTGTGCCTGCTGCTCCTGTGCCTGCTTCTCCTGTGCCTGCTGCTCCTGTGCCTGCTGCTCCTGTGCCTGCTGCTCCTGTGCCTGCTGCTCCTGTGCCTGCTGATCCTGTGCCTTCTGCTCCTGTGCCTGCTGCTCCTGTGCCTGCTGCTCCTGTGCCTGCTGCTCCTGTGCCTGCTGCTCCTGTGCCTGCTGCTCCTGTGCCTGCTGCTCCTGTGCCTGCTGCTCCTGTGCATGCTGCTCCTGTGCCTGCTGCTCCTGTGCCTGCTGCTCCTGTGCTTGCTGCTCCTGTGCCTGCTGCTCCTGTGCCTGCTGCTCCTGTGAATGCTGCTCCTGTGCCTGCTGCTCCTGTGCCTGCTGCTCCTGTGCCTGCTGCTCCTGTGCCTGCTGCTCCTGTGCCTGCTGCTCCTGTGCCTGCTGCTCCTGTGCCTGCTGCTCCTGTGCCTGCTGCTCCTGTGCCTGCTGCTCCTGTGCCTGCTGCTCCTGTGCCTGCTGCTCCTATAATGTTCTGACACACCCCCATAGGCAAAGTGGGGGAGAACAAGGGGTCACAAGACCAGTCAAGCAAAGCAAAGCAAAGCTCAGGGTGGATCACAAAGTCACCACACATTCCGAGCACAAATTCAAAGGCTAGAAGGCCAGTTCACATGCAAGATCACATATATATATATACAAGAGGCTAAGCAAGCAAGAGCAAGAGTATATATATGTGACAGTACAAGCAAGGTCAAGAAGTGAGCAAGTGAGGCAAGACAGGCACAAGACCCAGCTGAGTGCAGAAGCGCTGATGATCACAAGGCGCAAGTGCCTTGGTGAAGACATCAGCAGTGTTGGCCTCAGAGGCCACGTACGCAAGCCGCAACTGTCCACGCTGCTGTAGCTCACGAGCAAGAAATTAGTGGAGAGCAATGTGCTTTGTTCTGTGCTCCAGTCGCTGTTCTTGACACAAGGCCAGCATGGCCTTGTTGTCTACGTACAGGACTGGAGGAGAACGAGGCGGCTCTCCAAGGTCAGTCAGCAGGTAGGTGAGCCAGCGAAGCTCCTGGGCAGCCATAGCCCCGACGTAGATCTCAGCCTCACAACTGGAGCCGAGAACAGAAGACGAGCGGGTAGCCCGCCACGAAACAGAGCCGGAACCAAGACTGAAAGTGTAACCCTGTGACGACCGCTGCGTAGCCTGGTCGTCAGCCCAAGAGGCGTCCGCGTGCCCAGCGAGGACCACTGGACTCTGCCCTCCAAGCACTAGCCCCATGCCCGACGTACTGCACAAGTAGCGCAACACCGTCTTCGCTGCAGCCATGTGCTCTGGTCGGTGTCTCCCAGGAGCAACATAGCGTGCGAGAATGCTAAGAGGGTATGCAAGGTCAGGTCGTGTGCAGGTCATCAGGTACATGAGGCAGCCAACAAGCTCTGGATACGGGCCACTCGACTCTACGGACTCATCCGAAGGCAGAGCTGAGAGCGAGTGGCGAGTAGGCAGAGGAGTGGCCTGAGGCGAGGAGTACGTGAAGCCGAAGCGCTGAAGGACCTGCTGCACCATGTGTGACTGAGTCAGGGTAATGGTGCGGCGTGCTCTGTCCCGGGTGATCTGCAAGCCAAGGTAGCTGCGCAGTTCACCCAGGTCAGTGCACGTGTATCTCTTCTGCAGCTCAGACTTCACGTAGGCGAGTCCAGCAGTGTCAGCTGTGGCAAAGACCAAGTCGTCGACGTACACGAGGATGTAGAACGGCGGCAGAGAGGTGTCGGTGCGCAGAAACAGCGACGGGTCGGCAGTAGAAGGAGCAAACCCAAGTGCCGCCACTGTAGTCCTCAGTGTGTCGTGCCACTCACGTGGCGCCTGGCGGAGACCGTAGACTGGATGCCGGAGACTCCACTGGGTACCAGGAGGGAACGACCCTGTGAAGACAGCTGGGCGGCGCAGCCAGATCTCCTCGTGCAGGCTGCCCTGCAAGAAAGCAGTGCTAAAGTCGAGAGAGTGCAGCTCGTAGTCACGGTGAGCAGCAACGTGCAGCAGTACCCGAAGAGTGGTCATCTTCGGGGTAGGGGAGAAGGTCTGAAAGTAGTCAACTCCCTGCCGCTGACTGAAGCCACGAGCCACGTAACGCGCCTTGAAGACAGGCGGAGAACCCGGCGGCCGCTTCACCCTGAAGATCCACATGCCACTGACGATGTTCGCCCCAGGAGGGGGGACAGCGTCAACGTAGGTGCTTGTGGACTTCCAGGAAGCCATCTCTGCATCCATAGCTGCCTGCCACTGAGAGAAGTAGGGACCCTCTATCGCCTCCGCGTTAGAGCGCGGAGTCGGGATGTCAAGTGCATCCGGGTCTCCCTCAGGGGTAAGCAGTACGGACACGAGATGAGGTGAAGCAGCGTCCAGACACTGGAACTCCTCCTGCCTGTCCTCAAGGACGTCCGTGCCAAGGGCACACTCTCCCCCAACGGACGGAGGACAGACAGACTCAGACTCAGCGACGAGACTAGCAGCGTAGTCTAGGCGACAGCGAGCAGCAAAGTCGACGAGCTCAGTAACAAGGGCAGACGCAGCAGTAGACTCGAAAGAAGGGTCAGTGACGGCAGTAGCAAGGAGACGCGTGACAGTAGGACTGGCAGCACGAAGAGAGTCCGACTCCGGGTCGGCAAGAGCAGAAAGAGAGGACGCAGGAGGAGAAGGCAAAGGGGCACGCAGAGGAGCAGTGGACGGACGCAGAGACATCCGGTGCGCGCCAGGGACAGGAGGAGGACGCTGACGCGAACCGCGACCACTAGCGCGCGTAGCACGAACAGGCGACGCAGGACGAGACGCAGGCTCACGACGCTCAGTAAGACCTCTAGTAGGACCAGCGTAGGGAGAAGGAGCAGGCAAAGGGGAGGCAGGCTGTAGCTGTGAGTGTGACTTGGCAGGCTGTGGACCCTCTAAGGGAGGAGGAGGAGGACCAGTAGAAGGTGTAAGACCAAGAACCTGCTGCAGGAGTGGAACGAAGTACGGTCGAGGCCGCGTGGCGACGCCAGAAACAGCAGGGACAGCACCAGGACCCCCAGCAGGAGTACCTGCTCCAGCAGCACCTCCAGCAGCTCCAGCACCTCCAGCAGCACCTCCAGCAGCTCCAGAACCCCCAGCAGCACCTCCAGCAGCTCCAGAACCTCCAGCAGCACCAGGAGCACCCCCAGCAGGACCGCCAGTGGTAGTCTCAGCGCCAACACTCTCAGCAGCACCAGCTCCAGTCGAACCCGCAGGCCCAGCAGCTCCAGTACTCCCAGGACGAGCACCTCCGGGACCCGCAACAGCAGCACCCTCAGTAGCCGACGAACCTCAAGCACGAGCAGCACGGCTCCAGCGGCGGGCAAACCACTCGCGCAGCTCCTGTGGAGAGAGTGGCTCCCGGCGACACGAAGCACCCGGAGAACCTTCAGGCGGAGCACCTCCAGGCACAGCACCCTCAGATCCAGCACCCCCAGGCAAAGCACCTCCAGGCTCAGCACCCCCAGGGCCAGCACCCCCAGGCCCAGCACCCCCAGGCGTAACACCCCCAGGCTCAGCACCCCCAGGCTCAGCACCCCTAGACTCAGAACCCCCAGTAGCCGAAGAACCTCCAGCACCAGCAGCACGGCTCGAGCGCCGGGCAAACCACTCGCGCAGCTCCTGTGGAGAGAGTGGCTCCCTGCGAGACGAAGCGCCCGGAGAACCTTCAGGCGGAGCACCTCCAGGCTCAGCACCCCCAGGCCCGGCACCCCCTGGCGAAGCACCCCCAGGCGTAGCACCCCCAGGCTCAGCACCCCCAGGCCCAGTACCCCCAGGCTCAGCACCCTTAGCAGCACCAGAGTCACCAGTGACCTCGACAGGCTCGACTGCGTCTACCTGGTACACACCTGAAGGGGCAGGACCCTGAGGGGGGAGGGGGTCTACCTGGGGGGGACCTGGTACAAGGAAGAGCGGGGGCGGGGGGAGGGACGGAGTGCGGTAGGGGAAGAGGCGGTAGTAGGGGACCGACTCGTCAAACGTGACGTCGTGGGAGGACAGAACACGGCGAGAGGTGGGGTGGTAGAACTGCCACCCTGGCGCGTCAGGGGGGAACCCCAGGAAGACGCAAGGAGTAGCACGAGGGGACAGTTTGTCCGCAGACAAGTCGCGGACAAACGCCCGAGATCCCCAGACCCGGAACGCCGACGCATCGCCAACCTTCCCCGTCCACAGCAAGGCTGGGGAGGTCTCCGGCCTGGAGACCCTGGGGTGAAGGTTGATCTGATGCGCCGCGTACCTGACCGCAAACGGCCACAGAAAATGGGGGGCAGCCGCATGCATCATAGACGTACGAGCGACGTCCATGACCATGCCAATGCGGCGCTCAGCAATCCCATTTTGTTTCGGAGAGTCCGGAAGCGTGAAGGTCTGTCGGATGCCCCGTGCGCGACAGTAGGCTCTCAGAAGGCCAGAGGAAAACTCTCCGCCTCTGTCCGAGTGCAGACGCAGAACAGGAAAGTCCGAGCCAAAGCTCTGCCTGAGCTGGAGACGAGCTGCGCGGATCCAGTCGATCAACACCTCAGTGACATCACCCTTGCTGCGCAAGGGGAAGATTGCGGTGTAACGCGAGTAGTCGTCAACAACTAGCAGGAAGTAGCGCTCGTGACCCTGTCCACGGACGCGGGCTGGGCCCCACACGTCCATGTGAATCGTCTGCAACAGGGCCTCTGTCGGAGGAAACTGGGAGGAGTGAGGGGCAGCACGCTGGCGCCCCTCGACAGAAGGGACACAGGTAGGGCCAGGGCCCTGAGGAAGGGGAGGGAGGGACCGGGGGAGACCAGAAACAAGAAGACGAGAGGCCATGCCTCTGAGCCGAAGCAGAGAGGGGTGACCAAGGCGATGGTGCCAGAGGAGAGTCTCGTGAGACAGGAGACGACACGAACAGGGGGAAGACTCAGGACCAGACCTGGACGCTGCAGCAAACACCTGACCCGACGCAGCTACCCTACCAGACTCAGTAACTGGAGGAGACGCAGTGGTCAGTGTGTACAGGCTCGACCCCGGCCGACGAGTAAACGTGGCCAGGTGTCGGCCTGTCCGAGCGTCTGTGCAGTGGGTCACCCGCTGACTCGCAGGAGTGAACTGGTGAACCCCCGCATCCTGCAGGTCAGCACCACTCACCAAGTTCGTAGAGAACGAGGGGAGGTAAAGACCAGACAGGGTGCCAGAGGGGGCCGCCGGACACGGGAGGATAGTGGAGAAGTGAGCAAGGACAGGGCCCCCAGAGGGGTCTGCTAGAGAGACTGCAACTGGCCGACCAAGCGGCGTGAGGGTGGTGCGGTCTCAAAAGAAGGTGTGAGAGGCCTGAGCCGACGCGGTACCTGAGAGAGCAGACTCACCCGCACCTGAGGAAGCAGACTCACTAGCACCTAGAGCAGCAGCCGCACCTGTACCTGGAGCAGCAGACACACTAGCACCCAGAGCAGCAGCCGCACCAGCAGCTAGAGCAGCAGGCTCTATACCCGGGTCAGGCGGTACGCATAGGTGACCGTCACGGTCAGCAC